TATATTCAAACTAGTCAAGCGAGGGCTGGACTAACCTTAAATTAGGCTGGCGGGTTAGTCAAGACTGCCTGACTAGCATAAAGCTGCATTCCAAACTAATCGAGTCTGCTGGAGTAGCTATTGGCCTGCTTCCCTAGCCAATGGTTATTCTAGCAAGCTTGACTAGAGTGATATCTTCAGCTGGAATAGTTTAAGAGCCGGACTAGTTTGAGAATGAACTATTATTATTATTGGTCCATCTCTATGGTAACTAAGATGAAAATCAAACTTGTGAACAACCATTACCCTTTCTATGAACTGTAGAAATAAATATTACTTCAAATAAGATTCCTTTGACTACACCTCGATTGAGATTAATTTCTTGCCATAGGAAGTGGATGCCGTATCAGGGACTCGAACCACCAACTCAATTGTTGAAGAGTCCTCTTTTAAGTTGATGTTATACATGGTAATCATTTAAATCTACATTCCATACCTATTGATCTTTCTTGGTAATATAATGGGTGGAATACTGTCATTAAGATAAAATTGTTAATTGACATGTTGTCCAGAAGGCAAAACAAAACGTCAACAAGAGCAACAAAAAAGAGAGAAAATTAGAACAATATCAAACAAAAATAATTACCAGTATTTGAAAAGCGACGCTTCATTTTTGCCAGGACTTCTTTCACTTATTTACAAAGAGAATTATGATTTCATTGCGTCGATGAATGGTTTATTAATGCCGGAAACTTAAAATGCCTAAATTCAAACCTTGATCCGAAAAGTATTTCACAAGCCATCCAGCCTAATCCCGAGAGCTATATCATGTATATCATTGGCGACGAAAAGCCCGGATCAAAAATAGCTTTAATCCGATCGCAACATTTTATTTATTTATAGGCATCATAATCCTCTTTGGAGAACCTTCATTTTGATGTATTACAAAATTCAATTCAATTTAATTCAATTCGAATTAGAAGAAGAAGAAGAAGAAGAAGAAGAAGAAGAAGAAGAAGAAGAAGAAGAAGAAGAAGAAGAAAGAAGAAGAAGAAAAAGAAGAGGAAGAAGAAGAAGAAGAAGAAGAAGAAGAAGAAGAAGAAGAAGAAGAAGAAGAAGAAAAAGAAGAAGAAGAAGAAGAAGAAGAAGAAGAAGAAGAAGAAGAAGAAGAAGAAGAAGAAGAAGAAGTAGAAGAAGAAGAGAAGAAGAAGAAGAAGAAGAAGAAGAAGAAAAAGAAAAAGGAGAAGAAGAAGAAGAAGAAGGAGAAGGGAAGAAGAAGAAGAAGAAGAAGAAGAAGAAGAAGGAGAAGAAGGAGAAGAAGAAGTAGACGAAGAAAAAGAAGAACAAAAGAAGAAGTGGACAAAAAAGTACCCTCCCATTCTCCAGACTACAAATTACAGGGGCCTCACTACATTAGTAGGAAAACCCTCAGGTGCTTAAAACAGGGCAGCATTATAAAGAAGATAAGATCTGCATTAGGTAGCAAGTCTTGTGGTCCTTAATTATTTAAGTGTCAGGCTGCATTATATGCATCGAATATGGCAATGGAGAAGCCTATAAGACGAGAATAAATTGGCATTATCAGATCATAAGGGTCTGTCGACGCCATGTCTGTGCGCATTGATAAACATACAATAGGATGGGTGTACATGTGACACATGGTCTGTTATTGACACGCACTTCACATGAAGGTGACCGACTATGTATGGTATCTCTTTGTTTGATCTTTCTTCCTCCTATTTAATTGAAAAAATATGTTGATATACATTTGAATATAATCCATTACGCAAACATAAAATCCTAATACCTTTGGTAATAATTAGGGCCTGTATATAACTGCTGTACTCCGTCTCCCTCCCTCGATCTCTCCCTCCCCTCTCTTTCTCCACTTTCCTCTTAACCTATATCTATCCCTCTCCCTCCCCCCAATTACATTCCCTCTTCACCTCACTCTCTATCTACTCGATTCCACACACTTTCTCCCACCCCTTCCCCGCTCACCTATTATATCCCTCTCTCTCTCTCTCTTGCTCTGCCCATTTTCCCTCACCGTCCTACTTACATTTCTGTCTCTTTTTTATTGTTGTTTTTAATAATTTGAAATTGTCACATATTGTATCTTTTAATTTAATATTCCTTCCGGCTGGCCTGTTCTGTAAAATACATTTCTAACACTGTGCAATGTTATCGCTGGAACCTTGCGAAAACCATTGGACGCAGAATTTGTCCAGAGCCGCATAAGGGCGTTAACGCTATGATATAATCATGAGTTAACGCCCTTTTGGTTTCCTACGGACGGAATACAAGGTAACGATGTCATTTGCTGTGCCGCCTTGATCCATCAGAATCTCATATCATGCTATTCTCCTTCCATACCCGTTCCCTCCTCTTCTCTTATCTCTCTCCTGACAGAATTCAGATGTAGAGATATCATGGATATGGGCAGGTATATTGACTCCTGTAATATTGCCTAATCAGCATAGTGCAGTCACTAGTTCCAAATGACCTTTTCTATCACTGCCATTAGGGGAATGGAATGGCAATATTCCTAATCATCGAGAGAGAAAAGAATGATATTAATGACTCTTGTGTGTGCAGGCAATGACCGACTGGGCTTATATTGTACTTAATAGGAGTGGCAAACTCTTTGTCTTTGTTTTTTCTTTCTACGAATGCACAAAACCATACGGATCCAATTAATGTTATGGTGATCAATCATGGGGATGTTTACCTTAGGAAAGGCAAATCTCTAGGAAATCCGCCGCATCACACTGTAAGTCGATATATATTTTCTCTAAAGAAATTAAACCTCTCTTGCAATAATTGGTAATAATGTCTTATCCACTAATTCAAACAACTATAATTATCACTCTAGGTTTTTCCATTGCCAGCTATTGGGACCGATGACTATCTTTGTCAGAAATATTCATTATTATTATTATTATTAATAGTAGTAGGAGTAGTAGAAGTAGTATCAGTGGAAGTAGTAGTAGTAGCAGTAGTAATAGTAGTAGAAGTAATAGAAATAGTAGTAGAAGTAGTACTAGTGGAAGTAGTAGTAGTAATAGAAGTAGTGGTAGTAATAGAGGGAAGAAGTAGTAGTACTCGTAGTAGTAGAATGAGTAGAAGTAGTAATGTACAGAGAGAGAGAGAGAGAGAGAGAGAGAGAGAGAGAGAGAGAGAGAGAGGGGGTCAGTATGAGAATTGTATTTAGCGTATCTATCAAACGAGGGTGTGAGGGCGTTTTACAAAGGCTACTGAGTTGAAGCGTTGAGTTTCTTGATGGATTTCATGTAAGAGATTTGATCTCTCTTTGTGCGGGAAAGAAGAAAATCACGTACGTATTGGAAACAGATTATTGAATTTATTGTAGGCCTATGATTATCTGCTGCTCAATTTACAGATAAACTGAAACCTATTCAGAAAAATCCCAAATGTGCCCTTCAACCCATCCGCCCATCCATTGGAGGTAACTGTTTCATTGTGTTTAAAGATTAAGCAGTAACAGCATGATTTAAGATGTACATGTAGCTTCGATTGATATTATCACCTATAATGTTTAAAGTTAATGCAATTTTGGGGGAAATTTTTGAAAATTGGATGGATAGTATTTCTTTAAATGTTTGATATATCTGGCTGCCCCTGTGGATGAATTATAAGCACTAACAAACTTAGCCCCTAAAACACTTCTGCTTTCGAGAAAATTGAATGATCAACATTTACCGGTACTCCCGGTAAATATCAAATATTGCAAATAGCGCCTAAGGCTATCCCATTGTAGCTGCGACCATGAAAATCTCAGAATATGCAGTTCTGATATATAATTTTCCAACGGGAATAGCAAATCGGTCGATTGTAGACAAGAAACATTGTTTTCAAGCTAAAGTAACATCAGTCTAGAGAGGGATCTATACAACATAAAGACTTTTTAAAATAATAATTTCATCACTTTAGACTCGATGTCATTGGCGACAACGATCATTGAATATTGTAAATCGCATATGCTTCCAATTTGTTCATTTGAACCAAATTCATGACCCCATACCAGCACTTTGTATTACCTTTAACAAGAGATATTTACCTCTTGTTCATAATATATCTTTTAGAGTGGGTTTCGTCAAACTTATACAAATTACATGTTCTCTCTTTTTATTAGGGTTTACTAGTTTCCGCTCTGGCTATATATCGGCATGAACAAAACATAATAATCTGGCTCAGTTAATTTTGGTAACGTGCCATAACCATGTAAAGCCAACAACAAAAAACAATTTTTGTATGGTATAAAGGTTGGTCAGTGAACCTAACCTATTTCAATTGTTTTATTACACGTCTCTTTTTTTCTTCTCTCTGTTTGAACCTCAAATCGTTGCATTCTTAGAAACTTGTAAATATGTAATTATGCGTTTGCCTTGACTAATCTTGTAACAATGGGTTACAACTTCGTAGATTAGGCTTTGCAAATCAAATTCGTGCGGTTGCCCTTTATCAATCATGAGTATGTGTTTTTGCCACCTAATAACAAGGCTTTTCGTGCTTAGCAATTGTATTTATCAATATGTATTGCCCTTGGTCCCACGCGTGTCTTTTCTTGTCAGTTCTTTCGAAGCAACTCAACCGCGACGAGGGTAATCAATTATTGGAGGGCTTTGTCTCCGAACTATGCCACGGAATGCCGTGAAACGATGACGGGTGGGCGATCGGTTTGTCTAACAAGACAATCGATTCGATGGTCTGCTTTTCTTGTCCGCTATTGATCTGCTTTTGTTCCTATTCACTTTTTTCTTTTTTTCCTTCGCTGCTTTATTGCAACGCAACCAAGCGGATATCAAGTGAGTATAGTCTACGGATTAGAGGCCCAGACACTGGGTTGAGTATAAAACCTTCGTGAAAAACTTGGCTATAAATAGAAAGAAAAGTGCAATGTTCTTAATCTGCTGTAACATTTAACTTAATCCCATCAATGCCATGCTCATGTCATGTGATTGTGCAGGGTAAGGGGTTAAACTATAGCCCGATTCGGCATTGGGACTTCGTAAGGGGTCTGCGCATCGTCGCGCTCTAATCAGAATCTATGAATGGTCGAATGCTTGGCAACGCACGCTCAGACGATTTCTCACAATCGGGTGACAAGAAAAGAAATGTTTTGTCAATAGCACTAGTCGATAATGCACACAGATCAGATGGCGTGAAGATGCAACACTTCCCTGACAGTATCTGGATTAGTGAAGAAGAGGATTCTTGGGGCAAGATGGGAAAGGAAATAGGTGTAGCTAGGGGGCTCTCGAGGCGTTGAAGATTCTCAAACTATTGTCAGAAGTATGTTGACACACGGATTTTGAGCACAGACTAAATAGATTGTACTCCACTTGTCTAAAACAGAACATATCGGATGATACAAAGTTTTGTGAGTCTGCCATCCACTTTACTAGCTCGAGGACCCAGTTTGTATCGCCCCATTCGGAAATGCTCGACGAATGATTCCAAGGACCGTAGAATATATTTTGTATAATCTAGGAGACATGTACCCGATCAAAATGCCGTCTTGATTATCTCTCGAGAAGATTCGTTTCTGGAATGTAATCTCCTGTCACGACAGCAACAATCAGGACAGGAGCTATACTCGTGAACACTGGAATAGCAGAGACAGTTTGATGAGGGAATTGAGCAACAAAAAAGCTAGTAAGTGAAAATATCTTATAAATCATTCTCCTTCCATGTTACCAATGGTGTCTGCATACTTTGTGTTACAATAAGAAATACATTTTAATCATATCAAACAAATGCCATAGACAAAATAACCGAAATTCTTTTCCCAAAAAGAGTAAATTGGTAGAGTTCTTAAAATGTTAGGAAGGTTGTCAGACTTTAATTTCATTTGTATCATATTTTTGGGTATATAATTGGAAAACAAATCCTTGACTTATCGACAAAAATATGCACAGCTGATGTGGAAATTAGTGAAGGAAAGCAAAACTCAATCATTGTTAAAGGTCACTTACAAATGTCCACGTGCACGCTGTGACACTGTATTACTCGGACACTTCAGTTATAAGAGTCGAAACATTTTTTAACATTTTAGATCCCTCCCCTCTCCTCCTTCCTTTCACCTTTATGACGGATTATTCTGACTTCCGAGGGCCTACTCATAATACATGCAAAAAAAAGTCCTTGTCATGCAGAGGATTATCAAATCAATAGTGGTTAGATTCTGTTATAAAGGCAATCAAACTAACATGTTGAAGACGTATTGATTATTCAGACACGGAGCGAATAAACTAATAAATTGGGCGTAATATAAAGCATATCATTACGGAACATCTTGGGTTACTTATTGCATGATCAAATTAATAAGCACGCCACAGTCTTTCCGATAAATTTTGCAGATTTTTGGTGTAGCTAGTTCTTGATTTTCCAACAAACGCATTAATACATGCATATCCATATGTACCCTCTTTCTCTCTGTCTGTCTGTCTGTCTCCCTCTCTCTCGCTCTCTCTCTCTCTGTATATGTGTCTCTATCTCTCTAGCTCTATCTCCCCCTTTCTCTTCTTTTCTATATGTTCATATTATTCCCTCTTTTTGTTGGTGATGTGTATTTACTTGGTACCGTGCTCATCCACCAAACCAATTCCCTATACCCTCCTGGATTACCCGGTCCTTGAATTTAGCTCCGTTCTTCTAACAGGAGTCTTTGAAATGTGTAACCCTAAATCATACACTACTCCCACCCTCTTACCCCCTCCCACAACATGCACAATGTTTCAAGGGAATTGGTAGGGTCATGTGTCAGAGTGTCACGTTCAAGGTAATGCTCGATATGTTGCTCAACATTTGACATAATTCCGGGGTCAAGTGCATGACATTGTATGCCCCTACCCACATGCAGGGGGTCTCTTTCCAGCACACAGACATTATGGTGTAACAAGTAGTTTCATATGTAAGGGGGGGGGGGAGGGCTGCTTATAACAAAAAGACCAACACAGAATGATTTAATGCACCATACGATCGTTTCTTTGATGCAAGTATAATTAGTGCACATGTATGCGATAACGCTGGTATGTTTAATAACAATCGTTTCTTTTCCTTACTTAAGTTTTTTTCCAGTTTAATAACAATCGTTTCTATTCCTTACTACTCCAGCAATAAATTAATTAGTGATTAAAACCACAAATTATACTTAAAAATACATCTAACGGTCTTGCTGTTTGGGTGTGACGAACAGAGTGTACACTGGCAACCATAGAAACTGAAGGGTTTCTTGATGACGTTTTGTAGTATATAGTTTGCATAGCCCTGATTGCAGAGGTAATATAACTTTAAATGAGGGTGACGGTGCCTATAATGAATAGGTAATGGCTTGAATCGTACCTTGCGGTCCAGCTTATATGGTTTTAACCCACTACATTTATTGACCGCCTCCACCCACACTCTATAACCATGGTATATGAATTCCTTGTGTATAAACCGTGGATAAGTGGGCGTCCAACGCTTATTATGAACAAGGGGTATTTCACAAAGATTCTAAGTTGATCTTATCGCTTGGTTGGACTTAAAAACTATGCAAAGTCGTTAGCATTTATGAACATGTTTTGTAAAAGTTATTTTTCGAAAGGCATAACATGTTAATTCGAATCATTCATATTCTCTTTTTTCAAGGAGATTTCATGTTCTTGATGTGGATTTTTTATAAAAAGTCAAGAATACTTATTTTTTCACTTTTGAATATATTTTATTTGAAGGCTACAAATGGCTCTTCGGAATTTTTAAGTCCAACTTAGAGTTAAGCTCGACTAATTAGGATCCTTGTGAAACACCCACCTGCCTGGTCCGGTCAATGTGAATATGCATTAACATTATTATCAGGATTATATTTGTTTGTTTTTCTTTTCTTTTTTCGTTTTTTATTGGGAGGGGGGGGGGGAGAGAGAAAGAGGCATACAACAAAGACCTACATAATTGCAATAATCACTATGAAGGTTGTCACATCGTGAAAATGCTCAAGCGCTGTAATGGCAGCCGTTCCAAAGCCGGGGTAATAATGGAGCGCCAGGAGTAACAATTATGTGCCAGACATTTGCGCTATACAAGACTCCACTATTATCATCATTATTCATAATATAATAGACAAAAGCTGAGAGATAGGAAAGAAACGCGTAAGAGGTGTGGTGATATAACTGATGCTTTAGTTGTATGGAAAGACATTTGGGCGGGTTATTATCATATTCAATCGTCGAACATGGACGTATAATTGTAAACCATTTTCAGCTCTAATTTCCTTTAAATTCAAATTGATGATTTTGTTCTTTTTCAGAGGAAATATTGTTTATAATTTTATAATTTCTGTCTCCTGATTTAACAGATACCGCGACTGGCAGTGCTGAACAAAAAAGGTATCCAGATAACCGACAACGTCTTGAAGAAACCCGCGTGAAACGGACCACACCAATGGATCATTTACACAAAGCAGCACCAAGCCAACACATATTTATATACTATTAGTGATACTGGATATGACATCATAATGATGCCTACTTTGAGGTAGTGTAATCATGAGACACGAATCAAAGACCGTCCATGTGGACGAGAGGCCGAGCTTTGCCGGAAGTCTGGTTACCATCTTTGCTGGTCAGGGAGCCCGATCAGCAGACAGCAAGACAACCAGAGAGAACCTCCCGGGAAAGAGTAGAGTGGGACGAATCCTTCTCAATGACAACCACAGTCAAGACCGGCTCCTGGGTATGAAACTTGCAGACATCCATCAGATGCAACGGAAGGCAGAGACCTTCATCACTCATCAACAGAAGACCTTCCTCGCCAAGATGGAGAAACGCCAGGATACGTGGGTTAGAGAGCACATCAGGTTTTCCACCGGGACCAACTTGTCACGACCCCCTGAGGATGGAGAGCGGGAGGTCCCACCAACCAGAGAAACGTACAAGTCATTTCTGGAGGGTGGTGGTGCAGCTGAAGGAGTCGACTCAACAGACGCTCCTAAAGAAGGAGATGGAACTCTGCCTGCAATCACGTACCTCACGGAAGGACCAGATAGTTCATCGAGGATTGTTGGAAACGGTGCAACAATCTTCGCTAAAGAACCTGACGCTTACGATAGAACTCCTAATAAAGGATTTGTAGGTCTTCCGCCAATCACCGAGGGCAAGAAATCGGGCTTTGCTCCATCTGGAAATATAAATGATATGTTCGACGATAAGGCTTTTAAGCGAAGTGCCAGAAAATGGCCACCAACAAAGGGTTCAGAGGGCGCGGCGGCTAGTTTACCCGTTCTCGATCTTAATGAACCTAGAACAATGACCGCAGGGAAGCTATCTAACATGAGTGCAATAGAAGAACTAGAAGAATTTCCAGAGAAATGCAGCCCTTCGCCTCAGTTCCTGTTATCACGATCCCTCCCGCTGATGCAACTGGACGAACAGCATACGCGAAAGCTTCGAGCTCGTAGAGAACATCAGCCGAAAATCCGACGAAAGCGATCACGGAATATGAGCGCTAGGGTGGTCGACAACGACAACCCTTTAGCTGATGACAGGTTCGTAAAGCTGCATGAACTTTTAGCAAGCGAGGCTGTCGCTGACCACGAGTCGAGGGAGTTGACTGCAATAGCAAGAGGGTTTCTTGCAGCCCAAAAATTTGGACAAAGCTGGAAAAACAAATGATTGTCTCAAGTACCACGATGTACGCAACATGAACAAACTGCCAATGAATTCAATGTATTTTCATTACAATGTGTCTACATAATATGCCTTCATAGGGAAGGGGGACTCCCCCATGACTGTTTGGCTACGAACAGATTCTAGAAGCATCATTGAAGGACGATGATAATTAATATTTATCAATCTACTCTACACTGTCTAGCAATACGTCTGCTCGGAGCCGGAAAGGTGTAAACTCTGTTTTAAAGTAAATGGTCTAATGCCCCTTTGGGATTTTCTCTGAGTTTCTGATTTACAATTTACAACACTGAGCGTAGGCTTATCTTCAAATTCACAGACTGTAGAAACACATTAGCGATTCACATTTTCTTCGGATTAAAAGGTATCGGAACACGATTCAACATTAATATATAAGGAGTATAAATATTCAGGCACTGTCCATATTATATAGTTTCAAGGTTTTGAGAGTGCAATTGACACACATAACACCTTTTGGCAAGCTTGTAGTTATCCCTTTTTCACAGTTTGGTTTCTGCAAGCACCCTCTCCCCAATTCTTCTTCCCTCTTCTGTTTTTGATCAGAAAGCCCATTTAGTATGTACATGTAGTAGCTCAATTTATTGTTTTGGGTGGCACCAAGTGCATATCTAATGTGACGGAATGATTCTCAAGCATTTCTTCGCCACGTACACCCCGGCACTATACCTGCTTGCAGTTTGATTATTACTGTGTATAAATTACATCACAAACGTGTTATAATATTTGTATGTGTTACGGAAAATCGGTGTCAGAAATACTTTGTTTTATTTTTCACATAGCTTTGATATTGAGGGAGATTTCAAACCATTCTGTCATTCCGCATCTTGTTTTTAGTTTCATTTGGTATTCTGTAATTGGATTTCGATAATATCTTTTTCTTGAATCAGGTCCAGAGCCATTTATTTAGAGAGTTTGGCTAACCCGATTTGTGTTAGGCACTCTATTGCAATTACTGCTTTGCTGGACAAAAGAATATACGCCATGTTGTGACGATATAAAAACCAAATTGGCCTAACTCTGTGTGTAAATGGCTCTAAAAGGGTCAAGGTATATACTTTTAGTATTTAAAATATTAAGAATGATTGGATCTTAACATTACCCTATCGTCAAAAGGGTCATCTCGCTATTTATGGGAAAAGTTTAGGAAATGGTAACCCACAAGATGCACAACGCACTTTATAGAATCTATTATATGATTGTGATCAATCGAAGGACTAAAATGGTATCAAGGTGCCCTTTTTCAAATTGGTTTGCATGATCAGCTGCTGATTATGTTTTAGTGATGAGGGTACTAAACCTGTTATTTGAAATAATATTTGAATGTATTCAAGGGGATACATTCTTCATTTATTTATTATTCATTCATCTATTTAGTTAGTTTAACTTTTCTGGAGAAATAATTGGACTCGATTACAATTAATATTTTTTAGATTCGTATTCAAGAAGAAATAAAAGCACTTGGCTGCTATTTTAATCACATTATTTTCTTCATATTTTTCATTCACTTATCATGTCTTCTGTATTGCTGCATGGATACTAAGGGATATTCTCCTGATGACAAATCGCAATTTTGTTACACCATTAAAATCACTCATCTTTGGTATTGAGCTTTTATATAGCGATCATTATCCGCATCATGCACAATGGCGCTGGAATATTTCTTCGGATTTTAGGCTACCATTATTTAAAAGGCGACTATCCCTATCTTCAATTTATTCGCTACATTGTACATCTTCAAAAAAAGTACATAAATATGTAATTAAGCTATTTTTGTTTTACTATAAATCATTTAACAGTGCCATGAAGTAAAACGGTGCCTTTTCAAAAAGATACAACATATGCGTCTAACCATTTGGAAATGTGTTTCACTATTATAATTATTTTGGTAATAGCATTATTGTTCAAAAGAAACTGACCGATGTTGATCTTGTTAATTCTTCTATTGTTTACTTAGATTAGTTTCGTTTATAAAGTAAATAACACGATAGTAAAGACTTTCCATACATCAACAGAGGGCCATTTTCAATACCCTGTTGAATTCCATAGAGAAACCAGTTTCGGCTTACATAATACACCACAATACACCCATAGGCCCGAATTCACAAAGGAGGTTTGTCGACAAGGTTTGTCGACAAACCTCCTTTAGATCTTTACAAACCAGGTTTGTAGAAAACGCGTAAAAACGTCATATGACGTACGAAAACCAAGGTTTGTCGGCAAACCTCCTTTGTGAATTCGGGCCATAAGGTTTGAATAGTTTTCCCTGACCTCTCTTAAATAAATGATTGTGACAATATAGGTTATGCTTGATAGAACAAGTGTTTATCTCAGAACTGTATTAATCAGTTTCTATGACTCTTAAGATTGATCAATACAGTTATGAGAATATAAGCTTTACTTATCAAGAATAAATCATATTGTCACAATCATTTCATGAAAAAATGTCGGAAAAAATTATTCCGACTTCATGGGCTATAGTGTACGTCACTGCTCATGTTCTTATATTTCAATAGATGATGCACGGGCTATTAAAATCGCCTAGGGTTGATTTACAAAAGTGTTTGCGATTTTGGTTAAAGAACATTTACTTGAAAGTGTCAGTCATACGAGATATCTTATTATACTTGTCGATCCGGACGATTTGCCTCTCTTTCATTTTCGTTAGAATTTGTCTGTACCAAAACATTGCTTTTGTTAAGAATATTTTTGCCAATGTGTACAGTATGTATCATGTACTTGTGCTACTAATACGTCTTTTTTTTATAATATCGTATATATTTTGTGCAATGAATACTGTTGAATATCAATATTAAAACAAAAAGGTGATTTTAATCTCAAGTTGTTGCTCCAGTTTGAATTCTACTTGATTGTTAGTCGAACTTGAATAGTGACCAGGAACACTATTATTGTATGGAAATAATGATAGGAAGAGAGAGGGACAGAGGGAGAGAGAAAGAGAGGGAGAGATAGAGAGACAGAGAGAGAGAGAGGGAGAGGTTGATGGAAAGAGGGGTGTGGTGATAGCGAATTTAGCCGTGTTCGTACAAAGCTCAGCATGATCAGACGATTCCCACACTCATGAACACACAGACTTTTGCTAACTCAGTGTAACTTGGTCACATAGGCCCGAATTCACAAAGGAGGTTTATCTACAAACCTAGGTTTACGCGCGTCATATGACACGTTTCAACGCGTTGCAAACCTTGCAACTTACCTCCTTTGTGAATTCGGGCCAATATGTCGTATATTCTGCTGTTTGGTGCTTGCCCAACAAAGCAGTAATCGTCCTACATGTATTGTGCACAACTCGTACCGGGTTGGCCGAACTCTCCTAGTCAATGGCTCCGACGCTTTCTAGAAAAGTATGCCATCTATTGGCAGAGTCGGCAATAGTCATCACCGCAGCATACAATACAGCTCAGAAGTTATTTGGCATGGTTTTGCGGGTGGATGTTTCACGATTGGTATTTACCGCTAAAATATCGAAGGAAAACCGATCAAATACCGCACAAAACTCGTCGAAAATCACAGTAGTTTTCGCGCTCACGAATGATTTCCGATTTCGGTCTTAATCCTGTACACGCTAGTCTATAGTAAATCAAGACTTAAGGCTTTCTCTTACATTTTATTCTAGCTTTCTCCATGTTCTTTTTATACAATACATATACAAGGTTGAATGCACAATGATAACAGCCTCCGTAACATTTGGTCTGAGTTGTCATTAAATTTGTGTAGGCAAAGATTTACCACTTTGTGAGTCGATTTAATGTATTTATTTTTCTTTTAAATGTCAACGAAAAAGCTTAAAAGGCTAAGTCCACTCAAAAAGAAAATGCTGTAAATGCATAAGCATAAAAGACACTGAGCAACACAAATTTGAGTAAAATCGGATAACTAAAGGAAGTTATGAATTTTTGAATACGTATGAAAAAGTATGGAACAAATTACGGAATTGACACTACAATTTGGTTATCAGTGTGTGACGTCATTGCCTCACTATGTATCAATTGCTTTATATATTTTTATCCCATTAATTTTCCCTTTTTATCCCCAAAAACATGATTCCCCCAACTTTTGCCCAGGTTATATGTTTTGTATTATATTGCGTGCCTGACATTACAAAAAATCATCCATGAACTTTGAAGAATTGATACTATTTTCTGAATATTCTATATTATAGATATATTGACTGCTATGAGAGGCATCGCTGTTTCTATATGCTCAAGGGGACGGGTACATCCTGATACTATGACCCCGAGGCGCGCCGAGGGGTCATATCAGGATGTAACGTCCCGGGAGACCAGTAGAGCAACAGCTATGCTTCGAATATTAAAGTAGTCGGTATATCTTTTACATACCGAATTCACAAAAAAATCTACAAAGAATTCTTACCTTATCCTTTTCTTGAGTAAAAAACATCACAGAAAATCTTAGACACTGTCTGTAAATCTTTGCTGGAAAGTTGCCTGAATGTTACGATCATTCGGGGATCGCAGACAAAAAGCACTGTATGGTATCCGCGCTCGCACAAAGAAACTGTTTACACGTAAACCAATAAGGATCTCGGCAAATTTAATTTATACGACCCGTTACCCGGGGCACAGGTAGGCAAGCATCCTGGCTAAGATCACGACTTCAATTTCGACCAATCAGATGACTAGATTTATTTCAACATACTAAAGAGAGGTATATAATCATAATTATTTATTTGTATATAATTAGTTTTTATATCGGAAATCACATTTTTCATGATTGAACTGAACAAAATTACTTTATATTAGTGCATCCACAAAAAAATATATTACTATCAAAATAACTTGGATGCTGGTGTTAGGAAATAAGATTCTTAGGGGGAAATTCAACAATTCATAATTTTCTTATTAATTATCCGATTTGGCTCAATTTTTGTTTTAATTGGTTTGTTCGATATTTCTATTAAATCTATTTTTGGAGTGGACTTGCCTTTTAAGTTCATACGTTAACTTGCTTATCCTGTTTTGGTGTACGCAGGAAAGATGTAAGGATTATTTACATAACTCTTCATTTGAAACTGACACATGTCCCATAGCAGTATTTTCACTGTTTATTGTAGATTATTATGATTAACCTCTCTTCCGTTGGAATAATACAAATCAAAACAAAATCTTTATTTAAAAAACAGATCTATCAACATTTATTTGTGATCATTTTTTTCTTTCTGTCTTTCTTTCTGTTAGTGCACCTTCTTTTCTCTTTCTCCCCCTCTCTTTCTCTCTCTCTCTTTCTCCCCCTCTCTCTCTTTCTCTCTCACACACACACATACCCACGCACACCCTTCCTCTATATTGCTGTAACTAACTGCCTTAATATTTCTCACACTTTCTTATTATTTCTTACTCTTACAAAAACAAACAAAAACACGCCAAACTACGTGTCCACACCCTAACGTGTACTTAAAATCAGATTTTTTTTATTTTCATGATTGTGCATTTTATTGTTGCTTGTGGTTGCTATTATATTTATCATTCTTATTATTACTTATATTATTAGTATTATCAGTGTTATTGTTATCATCATCCTTATCAATATTCTTGTAATTATCATTATCATAACCATTTTCATTATCATTTTTATCATTATTATTATTATTTATTCTTTTATTACTGTTTTTGTCTTTTTTTCCCATTATTATTACTTTCATTACGAGTATTTATGTATGTATCATCTTCACCTTTATCATTATTACAACAAACTAAAGACCTACACTCATTGTTTTTACACTGTTTGAACGAATTTAATTACTCTCTTCTATTTTCTTTCTCCAAACAAGAAGTCAGTACGCGTTTTTTTTAAATTAAAATTATAATTATGATCTATATTTTTATTCTGGTTGACGCTGGTTGAACACTTACACTTTAATACAAAGCTTACACTTTTTAAAAGAAATGTCACTATTCTCTTTAATTTTTGCTTTAAAAATCATTGCGATTTGTTATCTAAATCAATTTCATGTCACTAATCTGTATGTCCTTTTTTTTAAAATAGAACTTGGTCGTTCGTTTGTGCAATCTACGGAAAAAACACGAACAAATGAGGAATCGTTTCTACTTTTTTTCTTCAAATTAAAAGTCAAAGGTATTGATAATTAGTTGATTGATCGTGAATGAAATGGCATCTTCGAGCTTACATGTCTCACCTGAATTTTACACATAATTTTGATGATATACAAACAGGGAAACAGTTAAGACACGAATTAAAAAATAAGGACAGACAAAGTTAATGCACGCCAACGAGTTTCTATTTATACCATCGTTGTAAGATATTGCACCTGTCAATTCGTTGTAGTGGGAAAGTGAACAGTCAGCAAACATGTTAACATTGTGAAATGTATATTTACAATGGACATAATCAAACAGAGTTAGTCTACACATCCATCAATTCGTTCCTGTTTTCACGAAGTGACGGTAGTGAGGAAAATCCACACGCAAATTGAATGCGATTTTCATTTTCACTACCGTCACTTCGTGAAAATAGGGACGAATTATGCAGGAAAAAAATTCATTTCGTGTGGATGATTGATTTTGCGTGCAGACATATAGAAAACTAGAAAATTGGAATATTAATTCACCAGTTGACGAGACGTCATATAGGTATGGTATGTAATCCCGTAGGATTTTTGTGCCAAAGTTGATTTTTTTTGGTGCTGTTTTGGCTTCAAAAGGGTCCCAATTGGCCAAAAATGATGGTTTTCAAATTTTCAGACCCCTCCTTCATTTCCATGGGGGTCCCTATTGGGCGCCAAAATAGCTCATATAACGCGCAATAGGGAAATTTGATGTCTTCGGGAAAATTTGAACCCCATCAATTTCTGATAGCTTGGACCCCAATGAATTCAAAAATGCAAACAAAATCAACTTTGGCACAAAAATCCGACGGGAGCTGTTTCAGTGACATACCGTACCACACTATTTACTGGGATGTAAATGGGGGGTTTCTGAAAAATGTCAAAGGAATGGGGTAAAAGAGTAATATAATAATCAGAAGGTGTGAACATTTGCATGTTGGTAATTTAGCAATTGGAGGATTATCGTTTTATACGATTCTGAACTCATAATGATGATAATAGCAATACAATGGATCGCTTGTAAAGCAGAACTTTCCTGGTTCTAAAAGGGACTACCCAGTTGTTTTAAAGACACATGAATTGATACTTGATAACGGATAGTTTATATATTGATAACTATATCGTCTTTTCAAACATACAGACATGTACATCTATGTGACATTTACATCTGAGACATTTTATTCAATGCAAAACATGACATTCTATAGATAAGGTAACGAATTAGGTTACACGCTAAATGTATATATGACGTGATAAACATGATATTAGGAGGGCTACTGTGTGCGCATGAATCTTGATGTACTTACAGCTCTCAAGTAAAATAACAACGGAGAGAGTACACAGTTAAAATTTTTGTGAACAAGTTGTTTAAAAGTTTAAACAACTCTTGATTAACGGGTGACCTGATCTAAGAGTTGTTTAAAATGTTAAGCAACTCGAATTGTTTAAAGTTTAAACACTTAGTTGATCAACATTTTGAACAACTTGTTTAAAATCACAATTTAAACAACCGGTGTTGTTTAAAGACGGTTGTTTAAAACGGAGCTGTTGTTCAGTGGAGGTTGTTTACACCAACTGGGTTGTTTAAAGAAAGTTGTTTAAAAAGGAGCTGTTGTTCAGTGGGGGTTGTTTACACCAACTGGGTTGTTTAAAGAAAGTTGTTTAAAAAGGAGCTGTTGTTCAGTGGGGGTTGTTTACACCAACTGGGTTGTTTAAAGAAAGTTGTTTAAAATGG